CTGTTTCAAATGTTATTCGGAATCAGATTGATCTCGCACGACTGCAAACAAAAGGAGAGAGAGAAAAGCTTCTTTCGGCAGGATGGGGAGTGGGGGGTTAACATGCTGGCAGAAAGTGTGCAATCGTCAGTCCACGGCAAGGAACGCACCTCCTTTCCTAGACTGCGAGTAAATTCCCGTGAACTGCAAGTGATAAATGAAAGCTTTCGTCAGGCGCTTCATTAGCGCGTAAAGTTGAACGAAATGTGCCATCCCCGGGAACGACACAATGTAGAACGCCAGATATTTTACATAACTGAAACCATGTGTTTGGCAATCGCTTTCATTTATGATTCGGTGTGTGGGGGGACTGTGTCTGTCTGTCTCTTGTGGAGGTGATAGTAAAAGAGGATGTGATTTCGCAGTTGGCGGTAATCACATCCACCGGAAAGAATGGTAAAGGTTCGTGATAATATGTCGGGTGAACAATTAGGGTACAATCTAGCGCAACCTGAAGAAGCAAAACGCGAAGGATAGTACATGGTAGATGCGAATGAATGTGATATTAAGCTACTGTTTTAGATGCAGCACTCAAAACAAGAGCGAAAACCAATCATGAGAACTTCAGTGACTATATAGGAATAGGAAGATTTCTGAATAATCGTCACTTATGCACCACACTAGATTTTGTGGTCTAAATAGTCATGATTTGAATGATAACACCACTGGGAACAACAACAACAACAACCAAAAAAGCCGAATCCGAAACGCAGCAGATGAGGCTGAGTAATGCGTGAACGAGCTGCTTTAGTTTTGATATACGTGAGGTGAATGGGTAGCGTGGTCCAGACAGTTTTGAAGAGGGACATCAACAGGTAACTGAGTTCAACGATAAAAAGCAACGATCGTCGTTTGGTAGGGTTTGCGGGCAGCACGGCACCAATGTATCGAGTAGCGGGAACGTGTACAGGGGAAACGACCACGTCCGGGGTTGGTACGATGAACGCCAATAGCTTCGGTGGAGGACAACGTTGCTTGTTATTTCTTATTCCAAAACCCACTTTGAGTTCATGTGTTGAATGGCTGAATGTGGACATTTCAGCTACGACGACTACCAACCTCCTTACGACGAAAACCCTGAAAAGCAGAATGAACAATAGAAAGGACGAATTGAGTAATCGTTACGGAACTTAAGCGGAATAGTTGATATGCGTGTTTTAACCATATACACAAAGGAGTTCATGTTGAAAATTATGGATGTTATTGCGAAAAACCATATTGCCAAGTTTGGAGTGCCAGTTGTTAGTCAAGCGCATAAATACGGCAAACGAGGAAAACGGATTCGTGCCGGTCGGCAAACTGCCCTTGATCGTACTATTCCCAGCAAGATGACCGTGCCTACCATTGTGAGTAACAATGTCCGTTGTGTTTGGGAAGCTTCCGGACTTATCCTACCTGCTCCAGCGAAAGGAATTTCGCACCTCTTGTGTGTTGTCTTCAGGAATCATGGCTAAATGAGGATGTGGACGATTCAGTGGTGCAACTGGATAATTTCGTCTGCTTCAGACAAGATACACAACGGTGTAGAAAGAAGTTGGGAGGCAGTGTGATCACTTATATCAATTCCAATTAGTGCGGCAAGTCCGAAGTACTTTTTAAG